TTATCCGGGCCATTGTAGTTAATAAAAGCTTACTCTTTCCACATTATTTTTAGAATGTCTGAAGACTTTGAAGATTTCGTATCTACCCACGAGGCACTTAAAACTATTTTCCCGCAAGCCTCCAACGAAGAAATTACAAAATACGAGAAGCAACTTAGTAGTGTAAAAATTCTCGACCCAGTCCTTATTATTTCTCCAAATCAAGCTTGGATCAATCAGCAGGGTTTGCCGGCTTATTATACAGTCATGGATGCTTTTGCAACAAATGGTCTTCGAAATAGGCGTCGAGATGAGAATTCTCGTTGTCTTTCACTTCGCAACCAACACCGAACTTTATACTGTACGCGACAATATTCACGCTCTTTTTCCAAACGCCTTCTTCGTTCCTACTAGCCTCCAAGCTCAAATCCCTAATGCTCAACTGCACCCTGTTGGAACGGCATGGATACTAACAAAAGTGGGAGTACGCGATAGTGATTTCGGGAAAGATACTCGTTTCTTTCTTATCAATTGAGGAAACTCTACCAGGGCGGCCTTCAAAATTACGGGTCACATGTGAAGCGCCATTGCCGCAGTTGCATGAGATCGCGAAAAAAATTACTGTATTGTTTTTTTGTTACAGTATACGTAACAATCTTGATATTACGAACAAAAATGTATAACGAAATAAATTTTCAGGTTACTGTATGTTTTAATTAGCTCGATATAATGAAACCATTAGTAAGTTTGAAACGGATTTTAAAATTTGTTACTAATAGCCCGATCCCTTCATTATATCGAGGCAATACTTTATTGTTCAAGTTGCTTCAAGTTCAATGTATCATTTATACGTCTCGTAAATAGAACCACACTCCATATTTAGATGTATAAAAGAGCGACCTTTCGGATTAAGTGTTCAAATTTACTTTCGGATTCAGCATAGAAATTCCAATTGACTTCGTGTTTTTAAAAAAAGATTACAATAAAATCTCTAAGTGCACGCGGGAACATAGTAAAAAAAAAAATGCACCTAAAGAGAATGTGCATTTATAGAGGCAAAATATATAGATGGTGCTTTTATAAGCTTAGGGATGTTAATCGGTCCTAATCGGTTTCAAAGAAATTGTTAATTTCAGAGATGATTTTTTCAACGCAAGTTAAATGTGTTTATATTAACTTTTTAACTAGGGCTACTTACTGTAGATAAATGAAAAAAAAACTTTTCTACGGTCCCAACAAAATTGCCACTTTTTTTAATAGAATTTTTTTATAGCCGTTTTTTCAATAAAGGTTATTTACTAAAGGCAAGCTAGCGGACTCATGATTTGAATATTTATTTTTTGGACTGCGTTACCAATTAACATTCTTATATAAACTGAGGCCATGAGTTTAGAGGAGAATTCACAGCGTCCACTTATTAAACGTGACATAGGGTGTTCTTATTGTATATCTTTTATTGGTACCAAAATTTTTCACTCTATAAAAAATCAATTATCAATGTTCTTTTTTTGGGGGGAATACTGAAAATATTTGAATTTGGCACATTGTTTGGATTGGTTATTGTAAGGAAACATTTTGGTGCTTATCTCGTTTGTTTAAACAGTTTATTATGGAATGAATAAAGTAACTTTCTAGATACGATTAGAATGCATTTGGTATAAACGATCAGTATAATTGTTATGATGAAAATTTAAATTGGATCGATTAAAACTAACTCAATACGTTTAGTGATAATTTTTTTTTAGGTTGCTATGTATCGCGCAAAATGATTAATTTGTAATTGTTATCCTACTCCAAATAAATAAAATTTAGTTTATGTAAAAGTGTAAATTAACTAAATTAACTCGATTTGCTATGCCAATAATTATTATTAAGCGACCATACTAAATGAAGTAATTGTTATATGAATGCAGGTTCTTTCACTTCGAATCGATAAAACTAACTTATTATATTCAATAGCTATTTGTTTTTTTAAAATATAAAAGCATTGTATGCATAGCACAAAGCGATTAATATTTCAAATCTTGTAATTGTATGCATTTCGAAAAGTAATATTTCAATCTTGTAATTGTATATACTTCTAAAAGTGATTTCAAATCTTGTAATTGTATACACTTCAAAAAGTTAGCACAGTGTAAATACTAGAATAAATTTATTAATAAATATTATTATATATATATATATATATATTTTGTAATTTGGCTACCTGCTCTATTTTATTTGAGACTAGAAGCATTCAACAAAATCATTACAATCTTGTATCATAATCTATATTGTCTAACCAAAATATGGGCTCACCAATACTATAATCAAGTTATAGATGCCAATGTGGCCTGCCTCAGTAGCAATTGGCATCCTTCTGGGTTCTCAGATTACAAGGGACTTTTTTTCCATCAGTTCTTGGCTGGCTGCTACAGGCTCATCAAGAAGCAGAAAAACAAAACAAGAAATACTAAAAAAAAAGAAAAGAAAAACAGAGGTGTAGGGGAAAATGATAAAAAGATACAAACAAGAAAAGAAAGGATAAATGTAATAATGAGAAAAAACAAAAATACTATCCTAATATCACCATTATGAGCCAATAAAGGTTTGTAAAAATTATATACTACTAAACAAGATAGTCTCTACTCTAAGTCTATTTAATTAGTATATCTAAGTAAAACCCAGATAGGAAAAACTTCTTCAACTTTAATCCAAAATACTTTTTTTAACAGATAGTATCCTGGTTATAGAGAGGTCAGAAATATGTCTTAGAGCATTGTTTGTACGAAACATTGATATATTCAAGACACGTGTATTCACATGTTTGTTGTCATTGATTTGATTTGAGAGATAAACAATATTAACTAATTGGTATATGTGATATTGATCTTTTGGAGTAGGTAAACTGAATCGCCCACTTTTTACAAGATTTCTTTAAAAAAAAGTGGTAGGTCAACAGATATATATGAGGTTCTTCTTGTAAGTTTTACAGTTGTATCATCTAGTTTTTAATTTTTTCTACCCTTGGTAAGAGTCTAGCTACTTCCTGTTCCCAGAATAAACCTTCTGGTTTAGATGCTAAATATCCTTGGGAGTCTATTAGCAAGAAACTTGACCCAAAGAAAACTACCAAAAAATGCCTACTTTTCAGTATATTATATTTGACTTAGGCTTTATTAACAACAGGCTACTTAACATAGAACTAAGAATAGTATCTATTTAGTTGCTTTCTTGTACTTTTTACTATAGTTCAGTTTTTTTTATTATTGACCAAAGGATCGTTGGAAAGAGTTGTTTAATTTTTTTGATAAATGTTATTATATTAATGATTAAAATATTAAAAATATAATATTATAAAAAATGCAATCTAAATTTATTAATAGAAACAATTAAAGTTTCTTATAAATTGTTCTTTTTAAAATTAATGAAACATATAATTATTTATCTCTTATTGTTTTCAGTTTTTCTCAGTTGTCTCAATAATATAATATATATTAATTTTTTTCTAATAAATATTGGTACAATCCACTAATAGATAGCAAAAATACTAACAAATGACTGATACTGAAACTATATACTAATTAATAAACACCAATAACTTAAAACATTTTAAGTCTTATCCACAAAACTAATAATAATCTGTTCTGATTGCAAATATAACTGTTTCAAAATCAATTTGTCTAGAAAGATACTCACACAAAACATGTATAAAGTATAAAGAAAATCAAGACCAAGAAGTAAAGAAAATTTACTAGTAAGTATCATAAATTCAATTACTAATTTGGTTAAGCAACCCAAAAGTATTAAACATAATATTTCTCAGAAAGTAGCTATTAATATTTAACATATTGAAGTTGATTATCTTGATGTTAGTAATTTAATTAAATATCAAATCAATAAGTTGATGATAAACAAACCTGTCAATCTGGTTTATTATGTCTGTTTGTTAGTGAATATAGATATAATACTAGATATGATAGCAAAAGATATTATTACTCTTGTTGTTACTAAAATAAAATATAATAATAATTATTCATAGAAGTAAGTATTTAAATTGCATTCAACAATTCCAAATATACAACTCTCCTTAACGATCTCTTGAACCAAATTTTTACTAAACGCAATACAAAGAGTTGAAGCCTGGTAACAGAGTGTTGTCGACAAAGACTACAAATGTGATATACTGAGGCACAGGCAACTGTATGTTAGTTTTTGGAGGGATCAAGCTTTTCTTCTTGGTGAACTCCCCTTATGTATTTAGCATCCAAACCAAAAAGATATTTTGGAAACACTATAGCACAGGAATCTATGTTTGGAAAAAAAAAAACTAAAAGATGAAACAAATGGATTGGAAAAGTACTCTTTAAATTTGGAACCTCACAAAACTACTTTTTCTTGGGCTGTTCTCTTTTTTTTCCATAATTTTTGACAAAAAGTAGAAGATTTGGCTACCCTTCCAAAAGATCAGCAAGAGATCAGCATTGTTTACTATTTCTATTCTCAAAAAGTCTCAAGTTGCAATATAACGAATAAGTAAAACAACAAACATATATGAGGAAGAAGTTTTGAGACTAAAATTAAAATTGATGATCATGTGTCAAGGCTTTAAGATTAGTTACTCTAGGATCTGAGTTAGATTTAATACAAGAGTTGATAACTAGAGTAGTAATATGAGATATGCAATATTCTGAAATCATAGGTATATAATTTTTAGTCCTTAGTACAGGCTAAAGTATATTATAGTTTTTTTTGTCAAATAGCTCTCTATATAGATTTTTACAACCATGTAGATAGTTTTTTACCTGGTTAGCAAGTTTTTATATTTGTAGACAAGTTCTCTTAGATCTTAGGATAGCCTTTTAACTTTTTTATAATTTGGTTATTTTCTTTATATATTCATTTTTTTTACTTACCCTTTTTTGCTCTACATTTACCCTTTTTTTTTTTTTTTTTACTTCTCTATGAGAAAGTGTTATCAGATTGGTGGTACTCTATTATAGAATAGTAATTTTGACAAAGTTAGTGAAAGCTATCTTTTGATCTCTGGGGCTCACATTCTCAGTAAATTAAGGATCCTGAAAAGAGAAAAATATCTACTTAGACGGGTCACTCCTGGGTCATACTCTAGCATAAATTTGGAGGTTTATTTCATTTTTATTGTGATAATGAGATAAATTAAGAGATTTTTTATTTATACAGGTATAAAGTATTTTTTATAGATAATATAGATTTAGCTAACTAAGATATTTTGTTGTAAAGTACTGCCGATTTAAAAAATAAAGAAAAGATTGCTAAAGTAAAAAAAAAAAATTTAAAATTGCATTATTATTTGATTTTATCACTGTTATAGTTAATATTAAAATTGGTTAATATTAAAATTTGGATTTACTTTAATATAAAAATTTTTTAAGATCCTTTTTTTTCCTCAATGTTTTTATTTTTTTTTTCTTTTTCTTTTAGGATTTTGTTAAAAAGTGCACTATACACTTAGTGCACTCCTCTATATCTCAAAATTTTATTAAGACAACCCTGTTATATAACTAATAAAAAATA